GAAACTGAAAGTGGCACGCCACGGAGAATTTGTACGGCTCCACAGGGGGAGTTCGGGTGATTCTATCGCAACTGGTATGCAGCAGGATCTTTGCAAATCCGAGTGCTTACGCCTCTTAGAGAGAATCAGAAACGGTTTTGATTCTTTGTTTTTTTAACACTTGTCACGGATTCTCATCCTCCAAAAAGAAGCAAGGGGATGAAGGATTCCAATGAATGCCAGCCAACACCGTCTGAAAAGCAACAGAGGTCTTAGTGGATTTTTCGCAATCAAAATAATCGCCAGTCTGCGAAACTCCTAAAATTTTGCATTTTTAGCTTTTAATTTTTCACCTCTGCGTTGCAGTCGAAGACCGATAGTGAATGTATTCGATGTTTGCTCAGATGCATTCAAAGCTGGCTTTGAAGCAATTGCGCAGGTTAGATTCGCTTTTCTCTTCCATCCTTTTTCCTCTACCTTAATTTAGTATCACAATCACCGTGCTGACGAGACCCAGTTGAGCAAGACTTTCACAACTTAATGCGCCGAAACATCTTAGCTCCGGTTTCCAGCCCGCTCTCCTGCTTTTGTGTTATTCCCTCATTTTCGTCCTCCCCTTGTTTCTCTTATTTAATTCATATTCTTGTTTGCATATCAGGATTTTTACGATTTTTGAATTGAGCTGTAACTTTGTTTAGGATCAAATGAGTGTGGCGTTCGAGTCAGCTCCACCGTTCTATAGCACACTCTTGGAAAGACCCGGACGTTTACCGTTTCCGGATTCATCGCGTTGCTTCACACGTCCTCATATTTTCGTCTATTTCGTAGCAATGACTTTTCGATACTGTGTACTGCTACCAATTCGATTTTGTCTCATCATCATCTCCTTCATCTTCTCCACAAGTGCCATTATTGTGGCATGTTTCACACATCTCACGGATCGGCAACGGATACGTATTAGCGTCACATATTGCCGTTTGTTTTGTGCCGGAATTGGCTTAGTCGCGAAATATCATAATCAAGAATTCAGGCCTCGGCAGCCAGGTATTTTGGATAAACTTACTTCGATGATTTTGGATGGGGGAGGGAGGGAGCGAAGGGGCCGCGGAGGGTGGGGAAGCCCTCCCATCCTGGAACGATGCAAAAATTAGGAGTTGTAACACTGCTACTTGGAGTTATTTTGGTTTTATATATGGACAGGCCCGGGCTTTTGCAGTATTGGTGCCTGTGCTGCTGAGGAAAGACCTTCCCCCCCTCCCCCTCCCCACCCGTTTTCCCTCCGTGCCTCTAGGTCCACCTACTCCGGACGCTCGTTTCATCTCCTAAAGCTGACAAATAAACAACGAGCAGAGAAGGTGGGCACCAGTTGGAGGTACGTAGTTCAGGGTCGAAGGTATAGCTGCGTGCGATGTATGGAGGCATCCCAGAAACATCATTAACATGGGCCACCCCTGCCAATGGCCTGGTTGGTATTGGTTTTCTTGATATATCTTATGTTGAATTTGTCATCAAGCTCACATATGCGCATTAGTTTTCCAAAAAATCTGAAAATCATTCCGTGGTTGCATAGTGATCTGTTTTAGGATCCTAGTACAAAGCTCGATTCGTTATTCCTGTTGCTATCGCTTTGCCTTATTCGTGAGGAAGTTTCGGTTTTTTTAAGGTATCGCAGTTGCAAATCATTTGTCACCAAATGATGTGCATATAATCTATGCGGATAGGAATCCAAGTGATGGTTGTGGCTTTACAATAACCGGTCAACGACATGGTGGTATCATTTGGGTACTTGAAACAATCGTTGAAAAATTTATACCAACACTGTGGCTGGAACGTTGCAGCAACGCAGATCGTAAACGATTCATGGATGGAGTACTCAAAGAGGGCAAAGTGTGTGTGCTGTATATTAAATTTTAATTTTTAAATTATAAATATAAGCTGATTTTCAAAAAAAAAAAAAAATTAAAGCTAATACACTGAATTTAGTTTGAGTGAAAACAAATGCATTGGAATATACCTTGAGCACAAAAAATTTAAAATTAGATGTAAATCGAATTGATGCTGTACTAATAATGTACATTTAGTGCAGTTAATTTGCCCGTATGCTGTGTGACTGCGGTAGCTAAATTTCTATTTTGTACGTACTGAGCATAAACCCCCTTTGCAAAACCACAACAC